GTCCGAAGTATCTGAAGTGTCGCAGGCTTTTTCGTTCAGCTTGAATTTAAAAAATTTATTCGGTTGTGAGCAGTAAGAGGGGTTATGTGTACCAAAGTTTGTCGAAGTCACTTGTGACTACGGGTTCATGTTTGTTGTATGTAGATTTATTTTTGTAATCAATTAAAGATATGTATTCTTCATCCGAAATGAATTGTGCTGGTGGGGAAAAGATGAAGCAATGCATTGCCAAGAGAAAGCGTTACATTTATCAGTCCTCTTCGGATATCAATTCAAAGCGAAAAAAATGAAGAAAACCCCTATTGCTCGATATCCGGGTGCCGCTGTAATCGTATTTCGTGACTTTCAGGCCAACAAGTCTTTACTATGATAGCTGAGAATACTCTGGCCGCCATCCTTTTATGCGTGGTACGTTTAGTGAGTGCCAGCAGTGAATATTCCGTGTTAAGCACGACTTTTAGGTTGGAATTCCGGGCCTATACTTGAATCTGCTTACAAGTTTGTCGTTACTCGGCGCTTCAACACCGTTTGAATTCATCTGCGCTTGCCATGCAGCTGGAGATGCAGCCATCATCGCCGTTATGGTTTTCTGGTCGGCACCAATGATTTTCTTGTGAGTTCTTTCACTATATCGTGTTTGCCGCAATCCTTCAATAAAATTTCCCCCTTAAATCGTGTCCAACTGGCATGGTCGAAAAGAACTGAGATGTGGACATGGTTTGAGAATTGCTTTCATAAAGTATTAGGTTGATGCATTTTTCCCCGTGTTTGATCCTTCCGTATTTCGTTTGCATGGATGTTGGTATTTCGTCATCACGTGTGCGTGACGTGTGCATTATACTCTTTTATCACACTAGCTATCACTCACCCACCTTGCATTTGCAGGCCACAATGTCGCACAATTACCACTGTGACAGAATGTACCTGCGCCACTGCCTGGTTTTGCTTCACGATTCACAAAAGAAGCTTCACTTTCTCAACTCGATGATCACTGGAGATGAGAAGTGGGTCCTCTACGATAACCCTGTGAGGAAGCGGCAGTGGGTCGACAAAGGAGAACAGCCAGAAGCCACCCCAAAGGCCGACCTTCACCCCAAAAAGGTTCTCCTGTCCTGTTGGTGGTCCAGAAGCTGGGAGCTGCTGGAGAAGGGACAGACGATTGACGCTTCCACATACGTGACCCAGCTGCGGAAATTGAAAGATCACGTCGACCGTACTCGTGGAAGGAATGCGGAAATCTACTTCCACCATGACAACGCCCGACCTCACACTGCAAAGGCGACCCAGGCCGAGCTGGAGAAGTACGGATGGCTGATGGTCGCCCACCCTCCCTACAGCCCTGACCTCGCTCCCTGCAGCGCTCTCTGGACGGAAAAAAGTTCGAAACAAAGGATCAGGTCAGAAAGGCACTCGACGACTTCTTCAAGTCCCAGCCCCGTTCTGGAAGGAAGGAATCGACAAGCTGCCTGAGCGCTGGCGTCGAGTAGTGGATGGTGATGGTGCATACCTCTAATCTTCAGTAAGATATATATCGGGGATCTCTAAAACGGCTGTGTAGTATGTACACTCCTGCTTCCTGAGACGGGGTAGGCGTGGCATTTGAACACGGCGTGATCAAATGCCACGCCTGTGTTGGACGTAGACATGACCACTACTGAGCCAAAATGAAAAAAATGAAAATCACCAACCGAAAGCACAGCCACCGCCACATTTAGTTTGAAGTACGCAGCCACGCCTACCGCATTTCAGGAATTCAGAGTGCACCGTCTCGCAGTGTGGCAAACACGGAGCCATCGGTGGGTTCGCCACAACGATTATATTCAACTTTTGTCCTTAATAGGGCAGCGGGTTGTGAACAAGACAAAGAACAAGTCTAATAGTAATCGCTTTCAATAGTTTCGGCTGCGAAGCGTAGTCGACGTTTAAAGGCACATTCCGCGATAAAATAAGGCTATGACCTCTCAAATGTGTCGGACGATCCGGAAGGCGATTTTTGAGGCTGCGCTACTTTCAAAATGTGAAAAACGGCAAGAACTCCGCTATAAGCTGACTAATTAGGCCCATGGACACCCCTTAGGCCCATGACCGACCCCTCATGCAGCTGCTAACTAATAGCTAGTAGCCACCTATGCTATCTTTCTCTATAACATTTCGGACTGCTTTTTCTGCTGCTTTTCTCCGCTAATCAGATACTTAGCACTTTTTTGTGCCTATTTGAGTTCCGTTTCCCGCAATTTGCGGTCGCGAACTGTGCCTTTAAGGACAATTTCCGCGATCAAGTGTAACAGGTGGCAGGTGCTCAGTCATGAACCAGAAGCTTAAGAACTCATCAGTAGAGAAACGAGAAAAAAGTTTGGAAACAGCCTGAAGGAGACCCCCTGCAGTAGGACTGGCGCCTTGGAAGATTTTTTCAGATGTCAGACAAGCCCGATCATCAAGATTCGTAGTGCAACCAATTGCCGGCAAGAGCATAGGAAATCGTCCTAAGACACTCCAGGCAACGCTATGTGCACACGCAATTCCGCTTGGAAAGGGCGGGGCCGGTTGCTTCCTGCAGAAGCTAGCATACTGCACGGTTGCACCGGTTGCAAAACTCACGCGTCTCCAGCTTCGTTATCTCGCCATTTCGACTGGCGAAAGTGGTATATTCTCTGCGAATGCGGACAAGGATGTCAAATGCACGGAGAGATTTCGCTGATCACTTGATCGCTAGAACTGTTTTTAATCACTGTTCGCTTAGCCCATTCGCTCTTATAAACACGGTCTCATTGCAAGGCGGAAATGGGTAGTTGTCCGAAGCCGACCTTCACCCTCATGTCTTGCTTTTCAGTTTTTGGTTTGCTTTATCCAACTCAGAAAGAGAAATCACAGCACACTCAAAACCCTTCTCATATCGACGATATGAAAAGGAGGGTTTGCGGGTGAAAGTCTGTCTAGTTCACTTGAACGCATAGGTGAAACAATCATAGAAGTAGTCACCAAGAAGGAAGAAGAGAGAATCGGAAAGGAAACAAGAAGAATAAGTTGCAAATTTCACCACAAAGGTAAATATGGAAAAAAATGTTCTACAGCTACAGCCTTTATTTAATCAGAGACATTGCGAGCATTTTCAGAAACTTTCCATCTATCAGCGAAGGCGAGGTTGGAAGAACGGCTGGAAAATAAATTATATGTACGCCTGGGATTATCTAATTCATTACACTCAAGTGATTCTAGGTAAAATTGACATTTTGAAGTGTGGAGATATATTTGTCATAAGTTGACATTTTCCTGTTGAAGCTATCAATCGCCTCGTTGCCATTCGCAGCTACACTTTGTACAAAGCAGTATTCTCGATAGCGAAACAGCACAAGCGAAGCCTCAGCTCACTATAGCTCAGCATTTACGATTGCTTCGACCGTATTTTCTTCAATTCGGGTTTTAGTCGGTAAGTATTTTTTGGAGGCGATGGTCAATACTGGTCGAACATCTTATGAAGTATATTCATAGCGGTATGAAGTAAAGGCGAACTCTTACTATAGTTTGAAAAAAGCGGTCTGTAGGGACGCTGACCGAACTCAGATGGAAGCTACACCTGAGAGGTCCCCAACTTCCCGTCCACTCGAATTCCCGTCGAACTCGTGACGCCGAGAATCATGGCCGAAATATGCGAGATATACTCTGCTTCACATGGATGGAAGGGAGACAGACACATTCCTTATTTTTTTGACAGGGCTCACACACTGTCTGGATGCAGTCGTCATGTTGCCACAATGTGTGCTTTGTAAAAACCTTGTTTTTGTCGTCCCTATATCCATTGTGAAAAACCATGATTTGGCTGGTTTTTTTGAAACATAATTGACGGTGCCATGAGATAGTTTGCTCACATCGCATCATTCACGTATAGCTATGGATAACAAGCTGCCCGGAAGACACTTGGAAAACTGGTATTCAGGTGTTGATCTAGGAGTACGAGCAAACCTTTATGACTGTAACGAGTAACTGAGGTCGTCCTCCTTCGTCACCGAGGTAAAGAAGGGCTACAAGGTTCATTCAGACAGGCAGGTGCCTTATTTCCAGGATCGAGTCATTCTAGTGCAGATTTCCGGAGAGTGCTACTGTGGTAACCAAAAAAATCAAAAGCCGCGACAAGCTATCCGAGCACAGCGAGCCATTGTTGATCGGCGATGCTCGATAGGTTGTCGACTTTCGTCCCATCAGTTTTTCTGATTCGTTCACATGAGCCGAGTTGATCTTTCCATGCGTGAAGGAACACACGGGACCAGCATTCAACGTTAAAGGCACGGTCCGCGATCAGATATCGAAGTTGAAAATATGGCGCCAAGAGGTTAGAGTGGTCCGCGACCGCAACCTTGCACCGGTTTCGCGGCCAAAAAAATTCTTTGGAGATGCGCATACTAGCGGCAATATGGTTGCAAATGGTTGCCTCCTTTTTTCCAGTGACTCCGCCTCCATGCTCCGCCTCCAATGCCCGGTTTTCAGTGAACAACGAGATTGCAGGACGAAAAAGCATGAAGATCGTCACTTGCAGAGCTCTTAAATCGGTAAATCAGCTGTGGCGTATCAGGCGTCGTGTGGAGATAAATTTAAAATTGGGCCAGTACAAACTGGAGAATCAAAATGGGGGTTCTATGCTAGGACAGTAGCATGTTTTTTTGTGCTTTTTTTCTTCACTGTCGAGTTACTCAACCCTTGTCGTCTATATGGAACCCCCTAATCCACTATCTGGGATGGCGAATAATCGCGGGTTCTGCCTTTAACGCACGGAATGTCCCGCTTACATCGTCGCGCCGTGGGTGAAGGTGCAGCTGCTTGAGCGAAATGTCCCTTCCCTGCGCACTTTCTGAACACACCTGTATTCCCATTCACGGTTGTATGATAGAGGCACAATACCCCATTGGATTTTCTTTGACCTGGGGATCGTACAGCTGCTCTTACTGTCTGCAGTAAGGTCTTCGTCAGCGTCAGCAAGGTGCTGGAGTTGGTTGACCAATGGATTCTCTATGTTCAAGGAACAATAAATATATCATGCATTTGTGCCTATGCTCTCAAGGAGAAACCAAAGAGTCGGAAGTCTAGAGACTGCTTTCCCTTCCTTTCCGTTTCTTTCAGTATCGCGTACGTCGGTAATCCCTTCGATTCACCATGGGACGTCCCATGCCCTCTGACCCGTAAGATTTCGAAGAAATAGAAGTAGTCAGGGATCAAACAGCCAGCGTTCAATCAACCTTTTTTTTACGAAAATTTGGGCTAACCACTGACTTAAAGGTATGCAAAGCATACTTTTTTATCCCTATTCCAACTCAAACACTCAGTACAGAACCAAACCAAGAAAGTCTCAGTTATGGCTTGTGCTGACCCTGAACATGGAAATCGGATTGGCTACTATTTCAGATGGATGTCGTTTCATCTTCCATCCCACGACATGGCAGTGGACCTTTGAAATGACTCGCTGCGGACTGATCCTTGGCGTTTATTTGGACTTCTATTTTACTATTGGTCTCCTTCTTATGTGTACAGCGTTCGATGTTTGCACAGCTGCAAGCCTATACCTTTTCCTGAAGGTCCGTTCTATTAACTCAAGTTTAGATCGACCTTTTCAAAAGAGCAGAGTTTGTTCTACGCGTTATAAATTTGTTGAAAATTAAATTCATCGTCGTTCTTTAGAAGACCACAAGCGGTGATAGACATTTTAATCATAACGACGTCCGCTTCTTCATACAGGTATGGCTATTCACTCTTAATATTTGGAAGTTGCTCAAAATTTTCCGACATGCCTACCCATTTTTTTAGTCGTGCGTGTCCAATTTCGTATTCATTATTGACCTGGCGTGCTTTTTCGTCGGCCCTATTATCTATGAGAAGGTGTTTGGCTCCGCACCAGGAACTTTCGGAACGTTCCTCATCAACACCTTCACGATGGAAATCAGTCATTCCTTAGATGGGTGAGTGCGATTGGTACACGCGCTTACAGTGGTGCGAGGGCTCAGGCATTGCACTCTGATCACTCCAGTGTGAGAGTCGCCATAGGTTCACAGAATTTTTGTGGTGAGACGATGTACAGACACTGTTTTTGTAGTCTCCGACATACTTGGTACCAAATAGCCGAATTCGATTTTACCAAATTCAGTCTTCTTCGCAGCGGGCGCTGCAGCGCATCACGGAAGGGGGGGGGGGTGGAGTTTAGAGCGGCATCAGCCAGTTTTTCCATCAATCCATTTTTTTCCATCGCCCGCCAACTTCCACAGTTGATGGAGTACAGGCTGGTGCAGCGCCAAATACATCCTTCCCTTGAATTTTGCGAAATTTCGCTACTGACTACATAATATCCGCATGTGACGGCGGATTTGCGGTGGAATCCTGGCCTCTGAAGAAGACGACCACGTCGAAACGTTAGGCCGTTAAATAAATATTCCACCTGAAAACCTCGAGAGGCACAGCAGCAAACGAATTATACAACGATGCCGAGGTTACAGCAAGAGAGAAGCTGGAGATTATTCGAAAATGTAGCTAACCTCCCAGAGCTTGACTTTCCCAAAAGAGACACCATGGAGAACTGACTTCCAAGCCTACGCGATATGTGCCACCATATGCTACTGTACAATTTCCACCGTCGTATTAGTAACACGCTCTTGAATTGAAGTTGGATTTGTGAGAATGCCTTCAGTAACCTGCTGTGTTCCCTTTGCAATACCGTATGAAACATCAACGCAATGAATCTTGAGGCAGTGTCCACTAACCCTAGAGCAGCGGAAGTTTCTTTCCAACAGGCTCTCGGCGGCCCTCCGTTCTAATGGGACTTGGACACTACGTGGTTCTTCTTCTAGATCGATCTTCAACCGATCACCATTGCTTAGAGCAAAACAGCTGCAGGTTTGAGCTCCATCCCACCGCTTCGTACGATCGCGCTCCCGACTGACTGCGTTATAGCCTATACCTTCCTCATTGGTGCACGCTCCTTTTTAAACGGTGAAAAAAAACTGGCGCCAAAGATAATGGTGCGATGGTAGGTCTCACCAAGAAGAATTAGTAAACTGCGGCCTCTGCAATATGAGCTTCCATCTGTTATGTAGTTATGGTTCAGGCTGATCATGGTACTATTCAACTCGAATACAAGAAAGTATATCTTCTCACCACGCCATTTTATCAAAAATCGTTTGGACACCAAGAACAACGACAGTCGACATCGAGTATCAGACATAGCAAGAGCCTACGAAACGCACACACAGAGGAACAGTGGTGACAGCCTTTCGTAACAGCGAGTCGATTCCGAGGGCAGCATGTAAAAATTGTACAACAAAGCCTTTGCTTTAAGCAGCGTTCATACTTCGCCACAGCAGCGGCGATTCGCCGAGATCGGAACCGCTGCCTAAGAGCAATGCGTATTGCAATTCAAATCCCTGCGAAATGTCGTTTGTAAGTAATATGTAAATTATTGATTGCGCGAATTTGAAGTTCACTCCTGTAGATCGGTCCTTGTTTCCTAAAAGTTCATTCATTAGCGATGAAGATGCGGACTTATTGGAGACACATTCCGCAAGTTTCAAAGTGATATGGCGACACGCTTCCGGCCAGAAATTTGACTTGACAAGTGCTACCGCTTGCACTGCCCGAAGATAAGCTGCCAGAAACCGTGTGACAGTGCCAAACGCATTCGCCCTTTTATCAGATACAGCACACCAACTAACACTGTGAATAACTGCGTCTTTTGCTCCGCTGCATAAGCTTAGCCACAACTTCTGTTTGTCTCTTCCGCTGAAATCGCTAGGCCTTTCATGATGTACTCTCATGCTAAGGACATTCTACAGAAAAGGCTAAGAAAACAAAGCCGAGTCGCAACACTCGCTCACATCCTCTGCCGGAACCTACTCATTGTCAGGACTCAAAATATGATTAAAGGCACGCGTCCGCGTTCAGCTTGAGATTTTCCGTCTCCTTCATTAGCAGGTAGTCAGCGTCCGGCAGCAGCAAACAAACGCACCACCTTCGCGGCGCAAAAACGAACTGAGGAGGCCCACGATACCGTCGTTCTTCTCATTGGCCCAACCTACAATCATTGGCACCGCCCTCCATTCATTCCTAATGGTTATCTGATGGTGCGGTTGTTTCGCTGCTGCTTCTCTCCACGTCGAGTGGTGAGAAGTGATTAAGGGACCACAATAGCTTGATATCAACAAGATGAGAACTCGTCGATTCTCAGCGCACGAGTTCCTCACTTGCCGCTTCTCAGCCTTTAAAGGCAGAGAAAAGAAGCTCCTCTAATTAGCACAAATTCTCGTTGGATAGATATGTAGTAGGAGCTGCAGCGAACAACCCTGTATAAGTTTTACGTCAGAAAGTGGCAAGGAAGCGGTGGTAGGGCTCAATGTTGCTCAAGTGACTTCGCCCAAGTTTATAGATGACTTATTTAGGCTCATTTTCGTTTGCATGCTCTCTCGCTGTTTTTCCAGGCTTCTCTCCCGATATCCACATTGGTTGTTTGCATTTTCGAGAGGCACGAGTAGGGCCTTACTTGGAGCCTTCTTCACGATTTCGTTTCCTTTTTCCTTCACAAGCGACTTAATTGTACATAGAATTCTGTTTCTCAACACGCCCACCTAACTTTCCGCTGGCCAGCGCAACTCCGCCTTGAAGCAGCCTTCCGTTGTCTGCGACTCGCCATTCGTGGGAAGTTAGCACCGTCTCCATCGCGTCTTTGTGCCAATCAAGGCTCGACAGCGCCTGCTCTCCGAGTGAGAGGCACGGACAAGTCTAACGCTCGTTCGCTGCGATGTAGACCTGTGGCCTGCCCTCTAAGGTATCACTACTCTTTAGCCTCGTTTCCGTGCAGTTCTGAACGAAGAAAAAGGGCTGCTACTGCAGCGCGGGCCTTGTCACCTCGCACATAACAAGGACTAGAATCCCCTTACATGACTTTACAGTTTGTCTGAGTTGTGAGATCGCTGTAAAACAGAAAGTGAGTATGTAAGTAAAAAGTGTAGAAAGTGACTGTCTATGTAAGTTGCTGAAAAGTTTGAAAGCGCATGACTGCGCCCGTCCATTATGATTTCCAATATTCTGTGATGATTGCTTGGACTTCGAAAACCAAATCGTTCCATTGAGTTGAGATTTCATCGTGATAAAATTCTATCAAACAAACATCCTGAAATGTTTATTGTGTGATGAGGGCAATACCATACTCGAACGTACCGAAATGCTTGTTTACGATTCCCCCAAACACATCCAGCACTGAACGAATTCATTAGGTCCAGCATCACTCAGTTACATGAAATTCGAGTCACGTATACACTATGAAACTCTACAAATTTTTACAAAACGAGTCTACAAAATAATGCATACTTTTGTCTTCAACTTCGGATCATTTCGGATATCCTGACATTTGCACGCTTTCTTTGATATTCGGCCTGAATTATGTCAAATAAATGCGTTTATAAAAGGCGACTTATCACGAAATAGTTCATAGCTTATTATGAAATGTGTGCTTAGATGTTTGTTGAGCATTTTGGAAATTACGCAAGCGTTAGTAGGCCGTAATGCCACAAAATTACGTTTACTGGAGCTCTTCAGCAACTACGGGTTCGTAAATGAGCACCACCCCCAAAGCATGCAATCGGCTCGATAATTTGATACTCGGTCTCAAATGGTAGCAAGGGTGCTAAATAGTGGTAAAGTGGCGAAAATGCGAAGTGAAACGGTCGAAAAAAATGCAAAAAGAAGCCTTCGTCTGTACGATAGCTAAGACAAATCGCATTTTCGGACGAGCTATCCCAATTGATAATGAAGCCCTACGAGCATGGCAGCATCGGTCGCCCATTTGTGGGCGGGCGGAAGCGATGGGCATCCGGATCGGTGTGTTGCAGCTTGATAGAGCGCTACAAAGGTAGCTTCATTGGAAAAGTGCAGGTCGACACCGCCCAGGGCCAACCTTCTTACCTCGAGGCGCGGACGGCAATAATTGGGGTACCAGTTTTATCTGGCGAGGATAAAGAACATCTGAGCTTGTAACATTAGCATATCCCCCACAGTCATTTGTGAAGTAGGCCATATCGTATTCATTAATTCACTACGACTCTGAATGAAAGTAGAATGCGTGTCGCATCCCACAAAGGGATTGATTAACGGCGAAAAAAACCTTTTATCCCCATACATATATAAGTGAAAGAAGAAGGTAACAAAAATGAGGTTACCAGTACCATTTTTGACTGGTGCCCTTGTTGTGAGCTATCGTTGTGCCCATTTCGTGGCTGCGTACCTTCCTTATTCAGCTTCTCTCTGTTCTGATTCCTTCTTTTTGGCTTTTCTCATAATCTGAAATTCATTGAAAAATACATGCGTTTCAGCTGTTAACGTTTTGCGCCTAAGAATGCGGCGTATAATCATTTGGAAAGAAGCCAATTAGGAACGGCTCAGGAAGAAATACGGTGCAAGGGACAAGATTAACTGGCAATGCAGTCTCACACTTTCTTCACAGTAAACCACACTGACTGAGTGCTAGCACGCAACGCTCTTCATCTGGGATAAGCCCCGTGAAGCAGAGTCTCAGATCATATCTTGCCTCAGATAACGCCGTCCCACCCGCTTCGACTCATCAAATTAGTACCACAGTTATTAGAGAGAAAATCCACTGGGAGGCCACTACAGTTCTAATTGTTGCATGTTACCCTATAGGTCTAATGGATTCTCCCATGACAAAAAGGGCACGTTTACTGACTAGCCATAACTGTTCAATATTTCGAAGCCGTTTAGTGCTGGTCTCCTGATATAATTAAAAAAATATCACAGTATACGTGACAACAGTCATCTCCTGGTGAGAAAGTTTCTACAAAAGTAATGCTGTCAAGTCACCTGGAAATCAGGTTTCTGCAACATAGTCAAGCGTTCTGTTTCGGCCTCAGCTCCGAGTCATGCTAAGAGAGAAATTTGTCGGTCTCGGGAAAGTGATCAGGCACCTGAAACATAAACGATATGTCGTATTGCTCATGATCAACAAGGCGTGTGTTTGGATAAATCAGTGCTCCGAGTGGTATGATAATTGAGCTCTGTAGTGTGACATGCCGCTTCTGGAGTTGAGGTTTCGCCTACTATGATTTAATTATAAAACTTTTTTTGCTAGTAGAGACTAGTCGCGACGATATATTTCCCTACTGTGTTGCGAGGGGACTCATCATTTTCACGCAATGTTCATTACTCTCTCACTCTCAGTTATTGACATTCTCTGAAAAATACCTCAGTTATCACATCCTTTGTTTGATTCCCAATTACCAATAAAACCAAAATCCTGGTTACGAGCGCTATTGAAAATTTGTAAAATGGTGTGATTGAACAGTTCACAAGCTAATTGCGTCAATTTTTCAACATTTCTTAATTTTATCAAGCTTTTAGACTATTTTTCGCATTTTTCGGCTCTTATCATTTTTGGAGAGAAGCATGCGAATGCATATAGATTTGTGTACGATATCTTCCAGTAACGAAGCATAATAATAGTTTCACCCACGACTCTCACAGAATCCCGTCTCACAGGACGTTTTCAAAAATGCTCCCATACAAAAAAATGCCTTACCAATACCTTTTCGCATGCCAACGCCAAAGAATAACCTGAAACGAACAATATAATTTTTTTCATTGCGTTTTTGGAAAAATGGTCTTTCTGACAATGCGCAAATGAGAGCGTTCCACCGCATATTTTCCGGTGCATCCACATTGGTTGTTGAGCAAAATATCTCATCATTATGACGACCCGCCTGTTCTAGGCTATGGCAAATGAAAGTTCATTAATGGGCCTCGAAGAAGGACATATTATCGCAAAGAAGCCGGACTCAAAAACTGGGTCGACACCGCCGAATCGGCGCTGAGATTCGGGCGCGCCACTCATGCTTATCAGGCAAATTTTTCCAAGGGACGTGCGCCAGACGCTCCCGGCCAAAAAGAAAGCATCACAGGAACAGTCTGCTCTTGTCCCAAACAGTTGGCGGTGTGAACCATCAAGGACGACAGGGCCCTCCTTTTAGGTTGTGCAACCCCGCCTGCTGGGTACCTCTCGTCTTCTCGATATACTTATTCGCAATGGTTGAGAATAACGGAGTTGAAGATAGGATATGGAGCAGAAGAGTCTCTGGAACATCCTCTTTGCGCTTGCACCGCCGTATCTATTGTAAAGGCATCCAACGTCTCGCGAGGACGTTGTCATGTCTGCGAATAAGTTAAGTCATCGTTCCGGAGTGTTAATTCGTCTCGGGAGGAACGTACTGCTTATGGC